GTGTTCTGTGAGAAATCTGTGGAAGACCACTATGGCCACATTTATCATAAGATACACACTGGAAAAAATACACGCCAAGGTTAAAATAAAATAAAAAAAGAAGAGGAAATCTGTCATAAATTGTCTGCACATTTCACATCAAAAACAGGCACCTATAAAATCATTACCATGTTCCCAAACATTCCTATACACTGAAGGCAAAGTACAGCTGGAAGGATGTCACAAAAATTACATACATATCTTGTGTTTGGATTTTACAAAGGGACAATTAATTGCAGGGTTCATCGCAAGTCAGTAGAACCGAAACGTGGAGCTCTGAATGATGAAAATAATGATAATAATGTGATGCACTTAGGCATATATGTCTAAAAAAAAAATTTTTTAATAAATTTAAATGTCCGCTATAAATTAAGTAGTTTAGTTTAAGTTAAGTAGTTTAGTGAGTACTAGTCAGTTCAGTGGTCTATGAAATTTCTTAACATTATGCAAAACTCTATGTGGGGTGGAGAAATTAATAATAATTATAATTATAATTATAATAATGAATGCATTACCTATTTTAATTATGGGGAACACGTGCGTGACAAACAGCTCCTCCAAGGTTAGTGTGTGTTTGGACACGTGAGGAGAACGGTTTCATTGTATCCATGAGCATTGTGTTTTTACGTCCCCATGCTCAAATGACAAGAATAAAAAACGAACAGTTTAACAGGAAACATGAATTTTTTGAGCCAAAAAGGAAGCGTGTTTACAGTAAATGTTCTTTAACCATGCCCCAGTTCATATCCCCAGTTATTGTCACATTTCCCGTTCTGACAGACAGATCCAGGGATGCGGAACAAAACGATACGACAAACACTAAAATCTGTTCATATTGTGTTCAAACTCGATTATTTCGTTTTAAAACCCACGTAAAACACAACAGACAATTTTTTTATTATTATTATTATTATTTTCGACATATTGATGCATGTTTTAATAAATTAACAATATAATGTTATTATTATGAATCATAATTTATTATTGGCAACAGATCATGTTCTCAAAATAAAAGGTTTAAAATTCTTATTTAACTTTAAAATAAACGCCTATCACCACAAATACTGTAAATATGCGAACTTGTTCTGTCACTGAAATGCACCTTCATAAATATTCATATAAAAAAAAAACTATATTTTTGAAAGGACGTCAACTTTAGCCTATGCTGCTAGTAACTACAACAACAACAAAACACCACCAATAACAATCTAATACACCAACACAAATAGTATAACAACAGCAGCAATAGCTATAAACATTATTATTAGCTATTATTATTAAAAAAATAAAATAAAAGCCTATCAACACAAATAGAATATATTTTACATGTATAAAACTAATTCTGCGAATATCCTTTAAATAAACAATGTAATAGCCGTGTGTGATGCCAATCATTAGCTATTATGTAAACAAAATGAACATTACAAAAACTACATATCGTCTGAAATAATAATTGCATATGTCTTCATTCATCATGCACCAGCATTCAAATCAACTTTACACCAACTTTACACATGCGATATTTGCAAAAATCATTTTCAGTGTATTTTTGTGCATGCTGTGTTGTATTTGCACACGACTGCTGTGTGAAACCGGTCTGGGAATCAGAGGACATCTACTCAGCAACCCAACTGTCAGCGGTCAACTGCTCCCTTCCTGCGGGTCTTATTCGGGGATTTGAGCTAATATTTAGATAGGATAGGATTTGATATACCGTCCCCATACATGAATGCTGGGAAATCAGCGCGGCGCGCGCTCCTCTGACACGCCGTGATTTATTATCTGCTAATTGATATCGGGTTCTAATTAACATCTGACCGTTTTCTCTCTCTCCAGGGTTTTGTAAAAATTGGAGAGATACCTAAAAACGCCTGGAGGCACTGTGAGATACATGCAGTGTGGAAGGATCCCATGCATAATGCTGATATAGACGCAAATATCACGAACAGAACGCAGCGTAAAAGACGAAAACGGGCCCTGAGAAAGGCGTTTGCAATGACTTTCCCTTCAGGCTCATCATCCTCGCACCTTTGAAAGCATACAGAACATGTCTTAACATATGAAAGTTTCTAATGAGGCATGGAGTCTCGTGTTACCACAGCAGGACCCAAACCCCGCGTGCAGGACCACACAGCTCACGCTCTCTTTAACGCAGGAAAAACTCAACGTGTTAGCATATATGTCTACAAAAATATTCATATAAAAATACCAGAAGATCCAGCTTTCTTTATTACGATTAGTACATTTGCTTCTATAGCATTGCCAGTAGCCTAATAACAGAAAGCACCACCAAATATAATCTAATATGCCACATCAAAAAACAATAAGGACAGTCGTTTCCCAAATCCAAACTATTAAATGAAGACCGAAATAAAAAGTAAAAACGTAAAATTACTAAACTTATTCCCCGTGTACCTATATGTATATGAAGTCCCGATACAAAAAAACAAAGTTTCCGAAAAGTTATTTCAGTACTGTTTTCTGCGAATAATGACATAAAAATAATTCGATAACAAAATGTGGAAAAAAAAACACTAAAACATGAACGCAGTAGTTTAATATTGCATCTTTATTAATACACTGACAGGCGAGATTCTTGTTCATTTAATCGATTGAAATATTAATATGATGCTAGATTAATATAATGCTAGATGCAAATAAAGTAGGGCAATTTATGGCTTGTCGGGAAATAATCAGCATTTACATTGGGCTAATACATTAATTTTCTTATGATCCAAAAGGTGCATCCAGCATTTAAAGAACAATATCACATTAATATTATCGTGGAGTCAATGTATGCTAATATCTTCTGTACATTTGCATACATTGTACATTACAGTCGTGTGTACTTTACTATAGAAGCACTTAGTCCAGAAGAAAGTACATTTTCTAACAAAAGATCCGTAATAAATGCCTTATAATAATCTCTGAATAAATGATACCACCATATGCAAAAAAAAAAAAAAAAGTTAATCGTTTGATCATCCGAGCTACTAATGAATCGTGAGAAGTGATTTTCATATTCAAATAGGTCATTTTAACCTAAATTCTTTACTGTGATTTTCATGTTGAAGATCTTACTCGGATTATTGAATGTTTATTTAAGCATCTCCAAACGCTAAAAGAGAGAATTTAGTATAACACAAATTACTCTTTTTCTCAATTTCCACATTGTTATTGGAGCTTAATAATGACAAAAAGAAAATATATAAGAATTTATCAAGCTGCGTGAATGTCCAAGGACCACACATTTTGACATTGTCTGCGCTTGTGGACTGAACGTGAACTTGGCAAAAAGAGTTTTGCTCAAACGCAGATTCAAACAAACAAATCGCTGACATTTAACATTATTTAGCGCCTTACAAATGATTAGTCACGTACATTCAAATACTACGTTACGCAAATTGAATCCATTCAAGTTGGCTATTCATATTTGAATATACATTAACTGTTGGCCTGTGAAGCCTCATACAATTTGCAATAGAATTTATAAAACGTTACACATAGGTGCACTTACATTTCACTGCTGGTCATATATTCTCTATATAACCATGTATGTGACAAATAAAAAATCTTGAATCTTGAATTTAAAGACATGGCTTTTTATCTTATTTTATTCTGTCTTGAGCAAAAATGGCTTCTACTTTAGATGTAATACGGTATATGCAGAAAGAAATTGCACACACACACACTCACTCACACTCATACACACACACACACACACACACATACACACTCTCACACACACACACACACACATACACAAACACACACACACACTCACACGGTAGATTCTGAAAGGCGCCGCTGAGAGACAAAACAGGAAAAGTGTGTCCCTTGAAAACAGCATCCAAACCACAAATTAATGATGCATACCAATTCTACTAACACATAACTTATGTTATACTTGTATCACTGTTATCAAACTGTGAATGTCCAACAAGACATTACTTAGTAACTAACAAATAAGTTTCAGAAAAGCATAAGATATTAATTTAAAGCATATTGATAAAGAGGAGCTTGTCCAGACACAAGAATAATAACAATGACAAAGAAGCCTCCAATCTTTGAAATCTGCACAGTCAGTATGGCCTGTTTTTATATATATATATATATATATATATATATATATATATATATATAAACACTGGACCAATTGTGGAGGGCCGCTTGGACCAAAACAGCCAGGGCTGTTTGATGTTTTAGCCCTAGTACAGCCCTGTTCATCAGGATCAGTGTCCATGTGTTTCATTACCAGTTCTTGTTAGTATTGTGTATTTACCTTGGTATCTGTAGTTTCCGTAACCCCAAAATGCCACTCTATTTTCATTTTGTACATTTTTAAATGACACTGGTGGCTCATACCAACTTACCAACTTTATTGTTACTAACTTTATTGTATTAAAAACTACTTTAATAGCCTCATCTTATACTGGTTATTCATTAGTATTTGTCATATTCTTACAACTTGTGCTAACTTGTCAAGTAAAGTGGGACAGTATGTGCGGGTCGTCCATTTTTGTGAATATTTATGGGTCACAGCTTAATCGCCCTGCAAAAATGTGGGTCCCATGGGCAGACCAGTTGAGAACCACTGCTTTAAAAATATTTATTTCTGTAGAGCTGGACATTTTAATAAGGATCAAATGAGTGAGTTCAGCTTTGAGAATGAAAACCAACCTGTTTGTTCCTCAGTATCTTCATGTTTGGCTCTGAATGTTTCTTCAATCTTCATGTCTTCACTCTCCTCTTTAATAAACGCCATCTTTGTTTGTTCCTCAGTATCTTCATGTTTGACTCTGAATGTTTCTTCAATCTTCATGTCTTCACTCTCCTCTTTAATAAACGCCATCTTTGTTTGTTCCTCAGTAGCTTCATGTTTGACTCTGAATGTTTCTTCAATCTTCATGTCTTCACTCTCCTCTTTAATAAACTCCATCTTTGTTTGTTCCTCAGTATCTTCATGTTTGACTCTGAATGCTTCTTCAATCCTCATGTCTTCACTCTCCTCTTTAATAAACATCTTTATTATAGTGTCACGTGGATCTCAGTTGAGTTTATCTGTGTGTTTAAGATCTGAATAATTAACAGAAAGAAAAATAAACCCAAACTAAATCTCTGGGGCATCTCAATCAGCTCCCTAGTTCAGTAGTCAGCACACTAGTGAGGGAGTCAGTCAGAGAGATATGTAATGGACTTGATGAGACAAAAAACAACCAAAACTAGCATTCAAACAAACAGAAAGACACAAAATACACAAAGTTTCGCATTTGTATTATGATTTAATTATATATATAATCTACAAATCATTAGATTCCACTTTAATGAAAACGCCTGCAGTTGGTTTGTAAAAGTAGTCGTTACACAAGTTTGTGTTTGTTGTTCTCGTTGCATTTACACTGTTTAGAGCAGCAGAAGTCGTCAGTTTGCGCTGATTCGAGCGATTCAAAACAGTGAATCATTTAGCGATGCATTTGATTCAGTTGACTCGGAGTTTCGCAAAGCTCCGTTTCTCATCACTACTAGCCAGCGAACGAAATGAGACGCACTTTTTTTGCATTAAAGTGTTACATTGGTTAATAATTAATTTCACAGTTTCATACACGCTTCTCTAAACATATTTTGTTGATTTAAAGACATTAAATGATTAAAAGCACTCGCCTTTCT